TGAGTCAAGATCGACTCGGGGGCAGTTAACAACAACAACAACAACAAAGGAGACTTCACCACACTCAGATTCTGTGACTTCCACTCAGAGTATGATGGAGTCTCACCACCACTGGTTCTGCATGCACCCATGTAGTGTATAAAAGCAAATTGCACCAGCCTGGAGTGATGAAATATTTGCAATAAGAACAATTTCCGAAATTAAATATACCTTCCCTTGTCTGCAGCTTCATGCTTTCTCTCCCAATTAACTGCACACTGTGAACCTATCATTAAAACAAACAGTGCATTGAGTGTTGATCTAACCTAGTTAATACAATAAGAACATTTCATAGGAATTTGTTTATTTATAGGAATATCTCTTTCCTGAGTTGCTGGAATTCACTGTTGGCCAGTAAGGGAGATCATAAACTCTGTAGGAAGGGAAAATGCATGTTTGTGTATGTAAGAGAAAAGAAGTTTTGTGCTGTACTGAGAAGAACTGAAACCTTGGCACTTTTTGGTGGCATTTTCGTAAAATACATACTTTCATTAGGACCAAAATGTTACAGACCTGTGGATTTTGAGATCTTTTCCTTTCACAAATTAACACAGCTGTCTTGTATATGGGCTAATTATCAAACTAGGCTTAATTTCTGCCCACCTTTCAAGATTTTCCATATTCTGCTTCTGCCACATTTGTTGCTGGGAAGATGCCAGTGGTAGTGATTTAATGGCAATGTTCAAAAACCACCATCTGTGTGAGTCTCAGTCCATTAAATGCTTTGAGAAAGTTCACTCAGTGATTACTTCAGAATCACTGGGGAGCTCACTGAAATCTTCCTGGGGCTTTCTGACAGCTTTATAAACCTCATACAGACTCAGCTATTTCCCCTGGGTTTGTAATATGAATGTTTGCCATTTTAAAAAGTATAGGCTAAATAAGATCCTACTTCATATTTGAGTAGTCTCAATCTACATTCACATAGGTGCATGGTGGCTGCACTGCATCACACTTCTGCTGA